CGAATTTTCGCAGTATCCATCTTTCTTGTCTAAATTGAATAACAAAAGCAATTGAAAGTCGATATTCAAATGTTTCAAATTAAAAAAAAAAATCACAGAAACCATTTGAAAAAAGTTTCATTCGAAAACCTCAAACCATGACGATTCTATGAAAATTCAAAGAACCTATTGCAATAAAACGGCAATTTCATACTTTAACCCCTAATATATGGTCTGGAATCTTATAGTGAAAGCGTATGCAGTTCCCCATAAAAGAATCGTTTACCTTAGTTAAGCGAAATCGTGGTACCATGAGTTTGGACTTAGCTTAGCTCCACCCAAAAAGTGATTGAGTTAGTATTCCTATATTTAATACGTTTCCATATCGGTAAACGAAAAAGAAATAATTAAGAAATTAAGAAATAATTTTTAATACGATTGACTGTTATTTATAAAAAAAAGCCCGTTTTCGATACCAAAAGCTACGTACACAAAAGTTACAGATTTGTTAATATTAAAAGTATCAATTACAGATCAAACTACGTTTATGAAGCGGCTTTCAGACACAATCTAATATAAGATAGAAATAGAGAAAAATTTGTCAAAGAATTGTTTTCCTTGCGAGAGGTTTCCTCTTGCAAAATGTTCTGTATGTTTTTCTAGATGTTAGTATTGTTTGGTAATTACAGTCCCACTATGTTCTGTTACGCCATTTTGTGTGACTCTGAGGAAAGTCTTGTTTGATTCTTTATTTTTGCATGAATGTACGAAAATGTGATACTGTTGACAGATGTACGATTCGGGGGGCCGCAAATTGTATTCAATGATAATTTTGTAGTTTCTCGAATTGTCACTGTGACTCATGGTGTAACTGTGTACAGTTTGACTACATTACATCATCACATGAATTGAAATAATGTTGATCTCCTATGTAATACTTATGATGTTATTCGTTTGCTGTATAGTTGTTCATCAACAACGAATGGGTGGACTCCGTAAGCAAGAAGACTTTCCCCACAATCAACCCTCAAGATGAGTCTATCATCACACAGGTGGCTGAAGGCGACAAGGTATGTTACTGTTGTTGATGCAAAGATCGAAAATGAAGAAAATCTTTATATCAATAATAGTATGATATTTGATTTGAAATTGTGTAAACATAAGATACTATTCCCGGAATCGGAATTTACGTACGAGAAAAACAAACGGATGAAACACGACATGGTAAGAGGAGAAATTAAAGAAATAAATATATTTATATGTAGGTATATGTACATACAAAAATCTTCGTGGTGCTTCTGCTACAAGCGGAAGTAGTAAAACTCTTTAAATTCACCTTATTCTTACAGTCTCCTTCGGTGCGAAATAGCACGCAACTGCCCAAGCTATGACCTAATATTTCATAGCCAGTATTATCATAGATACAACGTATAAATTATACCCTGTACTTACAGGCTGACGTGGACCTTGCAGTCGAAGCCGCAAAGAAGGCATTCCACCGTTATTCCGAATGGCGCACCCTAGACGCTTCCCAAAGAGGTCGCCTTCTTTACAAATTGGCTGATCTCATGGAAAGAGATGCGAAGTACCTTGGAGAACTGGAGACCCTGGACTGTGGAAAACCAGTGAAACAGGCTGAAGGAGAAGTAGTCTGGGCTGCTAGTGTGATCAGGTTCTATGCTGGAAAGGCCGACAAGATATTGGGCAATACTATCCCTGCTGGTTGGTAGACATTTCTATTTTGTATTATTTTCTTTCACACACACACATACACACGCACGCACACACACACAGACACACACACACACACACACACACACACAGAGAGAGAGAGAGAGAGAGAGAGAGAGAGAGAGAGAGAGAGAGAGACGCACAGCACACAGTACAGTAACTAGTTCCTAGAACGGACTCTTTTTATACGGAATTTAGTTATATAATGTAAGATTTGTGTTTGAGAAATAAATAATTATCACAGAAATAAGCTTAGATCTATTATACACTATATGACAAAGATATAACATTCAAAAAATAATTAATTTTTAATACCCAATATAAAAATGTTATAATGTAATTTAATTTTGCTTAATTGACCTTTCTAGATGGTGAAGTCATTTCTATGACGATGAAGGAGCCCGTTGGCATTTGTGGTCAAATTCTGCCATGGAATTACCCAATCCCCATGTTTGTGTGGAAGATCGGCCCTGCTTTGGCTGCTGGTAAGCATTTAACTTGTGGTGCTTGGTTATATTCTCGATCTTGTTAGGTGGGTGCTCGTCACCTCTTAAAATTTCGTCTGCAACTTCGTTCCCTGCAATGCCACTGTGTCTAAATACCTACCTAATCTAGTGTACTCAGGCCTTAAATAAACTATGAATTGACAATAGCACATTCGAATGTGAGCCTGGCATCCAGCTCTTCAAGTTCAACTACATTAAATAACCACCGCCTTACTGCCCGAGAGAATCATAAAAAAATATTTCGTCATATATATGTATATATTCTAATTACTACATGTGAGGTTCTGAACGTTTAGTATTCTTGCTTCAATATAATACTCGTAATTAATCATTGGAGATAATAATTAACTAATTATTATTTATTAAATTTTTATTGAATTGATATTCAATTATTTTTTGTGAAATTACTCCACTAGTTTGTTATTAATACAAAGATCGAACACTCAGAAAAAATTCCTTCGATCCGGTCGGATTCGAACCGACGTCTTCTTGCATACCGTACCAGACGCTATACCAACTAAGCCACGGAACGCACCAACGGACCTCACGAATTCTTCTTTGTGCTTGCGTCGTGTCTTTGTATTTGGTTTTTCAACGACCTTTTAGTCGTAGCGCCATCTATGAGAAATCTATGACAGATTTATCACCCATTAATTAATTAATTAATTATTATTTTATACGTACTGCCTTGTAAGTACAGTCAGTAGTGGGACATGCCCTGTCTTTTTATAGGAATCTCGTTTTTATGTACATCTTAAAAGGCACCAATTCAGTGTGATATCAGAAATAACTATTTCTGTCTTCTTTCTCCATCTTTTCAGTAGTTACCTAAACATTTTGTTTTTGAACCCTTATCACTATTAATTTCCTATCGTTATAAACGTTTCTGTTTATGGTTACATATTCCCTTTTTTTTAATATTAATAAATTCGATTTGTATTAAAATATTCCCTACAGGATAACAAATTTCTTCATACACATCTTTCAGGCTGCACTGTCGTTGTAAAGCCCGCGGAGCAAACTCCACTAACTGCTCTTGCTGTAGCTGCGTTGGTAAAGGAAGCCGGCTTCCCACCAGGCGTTGTAAATGTTATTCCTGGTTATGGTCCTACAGCCGGAGCTGCGCTTACTCACCACCCTGATGTTGATAAAATCGCTTTCACTGGATCTACTGAGGTAAAGTAAATTAACTTATCCATCTTCATGCAGAACTGAATATTTGATACGCAGTTTTTTGTTTTTTGTTTTTTTTTGCGAGTCCGGGAATGACATCGTAAAGACTTTTTAACAATACTTACGATCTATCGATATTTTTTCATGGAACTGTGTTTTCTGAATTAAGTTTTGCATTTTTCATTCAATGCAACAAACTAGACTGGTTAAATAGCAACGGAAGTCTGACAATAAGTTTATTAAAAATGTTCACTATATCGCAGTTTTATTTCATTCGCTTCGTCAGTGACATTGAGCATAATAAGCAATAACAAAATCTAGTTGACGTTATTGAGCACATGTCACTTATTATTAATTATGTGGTTGAACGTGACTGTTGAGTTCTTTGACAACATTAGCATTGCTAAGTAGAACCCACGTCGTCTCAGTAACGAAAACGTCTCGCCTTTAATTGAATGATACACGAATGGAACGCCTATACACAAACTTTTATTTATTTATAATTATTTCTTAGTTGACGTGATATAATATATGAATAGGTTTCCAGAATAGTGGATGGCAGTTTTTGTTGCTAAATCCGATCCCAAGTTATTTTAAACGTAGGGCTATCTGGTGCCTAATTGTAATCGGTGCGTTTTGTCATTTTTTATTTCACTAGTAATTTTTGATGCTATAAATATCTAAGTTGCAGAGTCAAACAAAATAATAATGTTAGAATAAAAGTAAAGTTTAACAGTCAATGTTCGAACTCTTATATTTTTTCTCATCTCACCAAACACGTCCACCGTTTATGAACTCGTAAAATTAATCTTCTAAACCTACGCAGGTCGCACATTCACTCTAATATGTATCCACATATACAAGCACTTCGCATATCACTTGCACTTTCACACACATCACAAACAATTACACAGACATCACATGCACTTTCGCACACATCACACGCACTTCCACACACACCACATGCACTCAATCATCACACACACTCTCACACACTTACAATTTAATTTTTATTCTTATATTTATATTTTTTTTTGTTATCACTCTTTTTTCCAATTAAGTATACATGTAACTTGTTAATATAGATTTATAAATATTGATCAGAATTTCTGGAGGTGGAGGCCTGGTGACCTAAAATACAGGGTATCCCAGTTTAGGCTCCAGCCTCTACAAATTTTCCTGTCATGTTTTATCTCTTATGTTTACTTATGTTGTTACAAATTTGTGGAGGAAATAAAGAATTTACTTACTTACTTAGCTTTTTCAGGTCCCAGGATAAGCCTTGTCCTTCTCTCGTTAGATCACAGTTATCTTTTCCATCATTCAATTCCGGTTTTTATTCCCACTCCTTTACTGTTCATGCGGTCAGATGTTGGAACGAACTTCCCATTACTGTACGTGATAGTAAATCCTTAGCTATCTTTAAAATGAGAGTCAAGGATCACTATTTATCCTCTGTTCTATCCATTTTATAGATATTATAATATGAAATATTTATTTAAATTTTAATTAGTCTTTATATAGTCTGTAGTAATTTAATATTTTTGCTATGTTTTTTTTTATTATTATTTTATTACATAATTTAATTTTGTTATGTTGTGCACGTAAACCCATTATTGTAATTATTGTGTCCTGTATTTTAGTCTTCAGGAAGAAATTTCTTATAGAAATTTTTGTTTGTGTTTTCCGTTTTACTAAATGTGATTTGTGTTTTCCTGTACAATAAATAATTAAATAAATAGATAATAATACATGCCAACTATACGATAAGAAGGAGATATATAAATGTTCATTGGTATTTTTGACTACGAGAGCTATATATGCAGAATATATATTTAACTCTAACAAGTTCATATACCAATCGTTTATTGTCTCTGTAATTTCTGAATTTAACAGCACTTCACGGGATGTATATCTTTATGTTTGTTGACAGATTGGTCGCATTATCATGCAAGTAGCATCCGCCGTGAACCTCAAGCGAGTCACCCTCGAGCTTGGCGGCAAGAGCCCCTTGGTTATTTTTAATGATGCTGATGGTAAATTTTCAAACTTTTTTCTTTACAATTTTTACAATGTTCAGAATTGACCACTGAGCAAGTGCTTCAATTTACTGGGCGGTAAATCCTGAAAGACATGCATATGTACATAACATGCATATTTTCCAACTGGTAAATACTAAATTGAATTTGATATACAGCACTTGTCTACTTATATTTCTATACTAATTATTCCATAATTTTATAGTCGAGGGTACTCGAAACCTCTTAACCTTTATTACAATATCTATACACTCGGAAAAATACTTATTATAAGCACAAGATGATGTTATTGAAAAGCTCTTCTAACAATTGGTAAATTAATAACTGCATTCCAATTCGAATATTTGAAAAATGAGCGAAAATTGTAATTCTTCGTATAGTGGACATGGCTGCCGATCTCGCTCACCGAGCTGCTTTTGCCAATGCTGGTCAGTGTTGCGTGGCTGCAACCAGGACTTACGTCCAGTCTGGAATCTATGACAAGTTCGTCGCTAAAGCTGCTGAAATCGCTAAGAAGAGGACTGTTGGCAACCCTTTTGAAGACGTTCAACAAGGCGCACAGGTGACTTATTCATTAATAGATCACCAACAACACTAGGTCTCTGAGATTCACTGTACGCTGCTAGAGCACAGGTTATAGTGCCCTTCCCGCATAACCAAGAGGTTGATAGGGAGGGTCACTATAATCTGAACTTATGTAAAATGTATGGGAGCTATACGCTGCTGACCTTTTTGGCATTTATTGGAGAGACCCAAACATTGTGGACGGCTTTGGGCTAATAATGCTAATCATTTATATCGCTAACATAAAGCACAAGACTGCATTATGTGTGAAGGATATTTCTAAATGCAAAAAAAATACAACTAATATAAGAGACATTTTTCCAAAGCCATTCTCCTCACATCATGATGACCAAATATTCTTGAGAATTCATTAAGAGTTTTGATTGTAATGTTTTAAGATTGACGATGAGATGTTCAACAAAGTGATGGGATATATCCAGTCTGGCAAGAAAGAGGGCGCCAAGTGTGTAGCTGGTGGTGCCCGTCACGGTACTGTTGGCTACTTTGTTCAGCCCACGGTCTTCGCTGATGTCAAGGATAACATGAAAATCGCTAGGGAAGAGGTAAACACAAAATTATTTACCTTACTATTTATTACTTACCTTAGTTATCTACAAGTTTCTCTTTTCATGTTTTCTAGATCTTCGGCCCTGTCCAAAGCATCCTCAAATTCGAAAACTTTGATGAGGTAGTGGATCGCGCCAACGACTCTAACTACGGCTTGGGAGCTGGTGTAGTCACCAACGACGTCACTACTGCCCTTGCCTTCATTAAACACGCCCGTGCTGGAAGTGTTTGGTATGTTTTCAAGTAATGTTAACCGAATTTCAGGGTCGTATTCCAGAACTCTACTCAATACTCAAGTCAGGACTTGAGTATTGCAGTGAGCACTGAAAATCATACTCAAGGCCTTGCTATTAGGGTCGTATTTCCAGTGCTTAAAATCATAATCAAGTCTGCTCAAGTCCTGACTTGAGCACTGAGTAGAGTTCTGGAATACGACCCTAAGACAGCGATCGTACAGTATTTTTAAAATTCGTTTGTTCTTACTACCGTTACAGTATTTAATTACAGTAAATTTACATTTAATGGGATAAATATGGCTAAAATTATATTGTCTTTCCAGGGTCAACACGTACGAACATGTCACTCCACAAACTCCATTTGGAGGATTCAGAGAATCTGGCATCGGACGCGAGATGTAAGTTTTCGATTTCTTCAGCATAAATACTATTATAATGGCTATATTTTCCAGTGTTATTAGGAAATATCGCCTGGCTACCTAATAATGGTAGCCGAGTGGAAGAAAGGTTCACGGAGTTTCAATTAGAGGTCGTTTAGAATCCTGACACGTACGTACGACTTTAATTTCTAAATTACGTATTTTATACCTACGTTTGTCAATGTTTAGTGACAATACTTTTGGGTCAGCATTTTATTTAAGAAAATTTAGACCACAGTCCTCCACTATGGTCCAAATTTTCTTAAAAATAAATGAATCTTACCAACTCTCTTGTGATAGGTTTAATCACAGTCAGAGATAAATATATCTCATCACACCTGGAACATCTATAACTTCGTAGATAAGTGGCATCGCTCTGCACCTTTTACCGAATGAATGTAGAGTTTTTCAACCTTATCTCTCCCCTCTCCAGCTCCGGAGCATTCGTGCTGAACTCCCTAGTCACAGTTTCACAAGTTTGGTGGCACCGGACTCCCTTCCAGCGAATATATTCACTCCCTTTTATGATAGAGGGTCATTCAAACGAGACGTGAAAAAGCATAACGGTTAGGAGACTGCCACGCAGAGGTTCCAGGTTCGATTCCCGGGCCGGGAGAAATATTTGTATGGCCTATATTTATTTCTCTCGTGAGTTTGGACGTAATTTGTGGTTGTCTATGTATATGTCCATAGCACCCGCGACACAGGGTTTCCCTAGTGCGTATGTTGAGTGTGTGCGTTATTAAAAAAAAGTTGCAAAAGCACTCAGAGCTTTACGTCGCAAAGATCTAAAGGGCACAGCCCCCGCGCCGAGTTGACAATTCCCGTGTGCCTGTAATTTCATCTGCGTCACAGTAGATAAATTCTGAGTAATATTTTAAGTCTCTACAATATTTGTCCGCAGGGGTGAAGACGGCATTCAGCAGTACTTGGAAAACAAAACCGTGACGTTCAAACTGCCCAAAAAGCCCCAGCTTTAAATTGCAAGGGCGAAATGACCAAGCATTTTATACCAAAAATTTTATTTGAACCACTATGATGCCATATGACTTGTTTAATTAATTTCACACATTTAATAGTCATCTATTATTGCACTAAATAAAGTATATGTTTATTAAATTAGGTATTATTATTTTTTATACGTGTACGAGTATCTGTCTGTTTAAAATCCTTACGTTTTTTATATTTTTAACAACTAACCTTTAATCGCCCAATGATTTGAAACTTGACGTGTTAACAAACTTTAAATTTCGCATGGAGTTGACAGGAAGTGACTAAGAATTATGACCACAATGTTTCCCTTTTTTACGAAATTTAAATTAACACGGGAAGGCATTATAGAAACAAAATTACATGTGTATCGTTAAATAGATATTTTAGAGGGTTTAAAGTACCTTCAAATAGTTTTTATAATATAACAACACTGTCAATAAGGTGCTGCGTTGTCTAGATTTGATCCATTACAAAAATAAACAACCTAATTAGTGCCAGATTAAACAAAATTAAAGATATAAAGTATATTTAATAAATTACAAACAATTATTTACAAACATAAATTATCTTACAAACTCCTCCGTGAGATGATTGAAATTACGAACTCAGTCAAATGGACAATTCTCATCATGGTCCAATTGTACGCAGTACATTCCTCGAGATCTGAAACAGAAAAAAAGTTCTTAGGTTTTCTGATTGTTACAAATAGAAAATGAGAATCGCGTATATTTGTTTTTTCAAACAAACCAACGTTTCGGATCCTTTATAACTCACGACTGACTGAGGACCACGGGACCTAAAAGATCCGAAACGTTTGAAAAAACAAATATACGCGATTTAAATCCCGAAAAATAGTTTCACTTCCTTATGAACTTTACCTAAGTTTAAGCAAGAAATTACGAAAAATACGCAAAGTTAAATTTAATTTTGTGCTTAAACTTGGGCAAAGTTCCTTTTGTAAATACGAAAAACTTGCTTAGCTCGCCGTTTGAGGTTAGCTAAAGTCAAAGTTGATTTCATAAATCTCAGTCTCAGACGTACTCCTTATAAGGCATATAAAAATAGTTACAGGACAAGAGTACTGTTTTCCTATATAATAAAATCATTTGCAGATTGCGTAGTGTACGACGAGTTTCGATACACATAAAAAGAAAATGCTTACGATTCAGGCGTGTCTTCTCCTAAAATGACAGCTCTTCGATCCAGCTTTATTCCCCATCGTCCGCGCTGCTTGGGGCAAGTACTGTCACATGGTACACCCACCATACGGATACGTTTGCGCACGCTTGCCGCGAAGTAGCAGGAACTCATAAAGTGACTGCAACGGGCTATGCCTGGGAATGGAATTTTTATGTTTAGTGAATGTTAAGAAACAGGGATCGAAGCCATCAAGATACTTATTTTCTTTGATAATTGTCCTAATAATTGTCAGATAATTATCATATGTGTCCGATAATTATCCACGCTGATTCATAGTTTTTCCTCTTTAATTTATGACTAAAAATGACAGTGAGAAAACTAAACAAACAAAAGAAAAATCGCTAGAAAAATGATTTTTTTTTTGTCATAATGAATGACTTGTGAGACTTATTTATTGTCCCAATTGTCATACCGCCAGTGTCTATTACGCGTTAGTTTCATAATCATCATGGAGGGAGTGTATATAGAAAATGTGTTCGGTGACTCAGAGGGAGTATCGAAGAAATTTTTGCACAAGATGATCCCTAAAACAAAAGATACGGCACAAATTAGACAACACAAATTGTAGTAACATGTATGTATATAGTCAAGTACATAGTGTTAATACACGAACTATATTTACAATTTAATATGATTCATATGTATAAATTTACAGAGAACTTGATACATTTTTGTGAGAGGACAGGGTCAAAAGGCATTTAAAGGTAGTTAGACTAGAAAAACGATATGGTTTGTGACTTTTTGAGATTGACTTTTGACATTTTTGTATACGTCTCTGAGGCACAACATTGCTAGTGGTCGCATTTTGTTGCTCCAATTAATTTTATAAATACCAAGATTTACCAAGATAATTATTGTAATAATTATCTTGATAATTATCATTTACTTGATAAGTAACACAATAATTATCATGTTACTTATCACGTAATAAAATTATCGATGGTAATAATCACTTCCCTGAGGGTCTACTCTCGTTCTCCGTCCGACATCCGTCCGAAACAAGTACTACTCGAATAAGTAATACCAACCAAATCAAAAGAGAAATGTCAATTATGAAGCTTCATTCGCATCATGAGCGATGTGTGTAAAATTAGCCAAAGAGATTTTATATACAATATTCATATGTGACCTATATAATTAAATATTTTTATACATAAAAATGACATCCAAATACATAATCGCTATTACTGTACTTTAGTATCATTTAAAGTGATATTGTAGAACAAAAATGAAATTTGAGTTACACCACTTTAGCGCTAATAGCCTCAGTTAGTCACTACAATAAATACAAACCGAAACCTCCAATGAACATTACACCAACTTTTTTTATGGTCATTTTCTGTTATTTTTGTAAACAGCCATATTTATTTATTAATATTATGCTCCCCGAATTTATTAAAAAAAAGAAACAAATACAAATAATTTCGTAGATTTCTCATAGATGGCTAAAAAATCGTTGAAAACCAAATACATACTACAACAAGCACATAGAAGAATTCGTGAGGCGCGGTTTGCTAGGAGACGTCGATCGTCGGTTCGAATCCGGCCGTATCAAAGGATTTTTTTGTTAGTGTTCGATCTTTGTATTAATAATTATAACAAACTAAGTAGTGGAGTAATTTCACACAAAAAAAATATTGAATATCATTGTGGTGAAATATTCAGACATTCAATAAAAATTGTGCAAAAACAAAATTCCAAAAATTAACTTAAAAAGGTTTTTGTGAAAAAATAAAAATAAACAAAAAACAGAACAGCTCCAAAAATTGAATTGGCGTAGTGTTCATCGGATTGAAGGCATCGACATATCTTACGCATAGCATGTCCGTGACATCCCGGTTGCAAACGTCCACCATTTACGCAGAAGTCAGCGTGTCCAACCTGTCCAGTTTCGCCCAGGAACCCAGCGTTAGTATGAATGACCTGCACTATATGGGCATCGTCTCGCCCAAGCCGGAACAGACGAGAGCCATACGCGGATACTAGTGGACGCGCTGGATCCAGACCTAATAAAACAATACTATACATAACAAAAAAAAAACAAAAGACAGGTGCAAGGCAGCCTCATTGCTAGATAGCAATCTCTTCTAGGCAATCTCTGGGTTACAGGATAAACTTAGAAGATAATAACGAATTAATAATTAATTCAATACGCATGTTGCACTTACAAATAAAAAGAAATAAATTACAACCACGAAAGACAGAAAAGAGGCGTATGAGTACTGAATAAAAAAAAACACATAATATTAAAAATAGGATAAGAATCGGCGAATTTATAATTAGAGTTTAAGGTAGCTTTGAGTAAAGTTCTAAAATATTCGACAGACTTAACACGTTTATTTGACCTATGATGATTAGAATAAAAGTTAGAAGTGTGAATGGGTCAGTTATACACAATATAATATAAATCCCAAACGATTTTTTTACAATAAATCAGTTCAGTCGTTTTCCATACTAATGGTAAGTACCATATTTATTTTTAAGACAAGGTGATGTAGTTCTATGCTGTCCTCAGTCTAAGGATCGTATTCCAGAACGCTACTCAATGCTCAAGTCAGGACTTGAGTATGATTTAAAGCACTCGAAATCATATTCAAGTCCTTGCCAATGGGGTCGTATTTTCAGTGCTTCAAATCATACTAGTTAGTTCGGGGATACGACTCTAACATTCTATTGTGTCTCCCGAGTTCTCCTGAGCCCCTATAGAGACTATACTCTGTAACATTCGAAGAATATCGTACGTACACATACATAAACAATCTGGTACCATTTATCCACTGTCATGGTACTGATACCATTTTCCATATCTATGTAAATGTAAAATAGTTTCAGCGTTCTTGATTTTTCATTATTCTCCAAATATTAGTTGATTTAGTCATACTGTGATAAATAACCTGTTCCTCATAAAAACATTTAGTTATTCAAACCACGAAAGTCTATGAAAAGAAACAATGTAAAAACAAAATGTGTTCCTTTGGATGTACACATAGAAATATTTTTTAAGTCTTGATTTACTTTTCTAGTTTGTGTAAATACAATCATATACGCTATAGTTTGCTAGCTCTGATAAAGATTAATTACCGAAACAGTAAAGCATAAACAGTATTGACCTTATTACATTATAATAAAGACACAAGTTGCATAATTCAATGTTCGATATATCAAATCAATTTGCCTTAATAACCACACGTGTACCAGTTTTTACCTGACAAATATATATAGTCATACATATGGCGTAATTGTAGAAATGGTGAATAATGTTAAATGGAAAATCGTAGTAGCTATTGAACGTCCATTTTTAAATTTTAGTCTGCTGTGAGGCACCAAGTGAGACGGACGTTTCGTGTTGAAGCCATAAACAAGTTGGAACAAACTTTAGAAATGGTGAAAGTGGACGTAGAATACACTAAGGTATTGCATATTTGCTAAATTTGTATAAAATGTCGCTTATTTTAAATGGTTTTTTAAGTATTTCTTCAAGAATCAAAACAGTTTGCGCATCGATCTAGCCGGCTTCCTACGCATTCTTACAAACTCGTCTACCTATATTTAAACTCGGTATGTTTGCATTATTATCAGTAAATTGGTTGCTAGTTCCTAGTAAACAAAAAAAATACTTTGCTCTGGATGTTTTATATAAATACTTCGCTTTAACGGTTTTAAAATTTAATTCCAATCTACCTCCAAAATTTTAAAGAAATTAAATTATTATTCCGAGAAATTTGAAATAATGCACTTTCTTCGATGTCAAATACATTCAAAGATTTCGTAATAGTTCTTGTATGGATAGGCAATTTATATTGTGCGTTACTATTATTAATAATTCGAATTACGCTACATATAATATACCTTGCCATTTCAAAAATATGTGTACCCTAAATGTATGGTATTCTGGGTGCTCCCCGGGGTAAATTTTACATTGCCCTGGTGTATTTTTCTAACCAGCCATAACTTTAGTTTACAACCAAATATACACGTAATTCTATTTTTTACAATATGCAATATCAATACTTTTTAAGCCTGCTCAGACTTCTAACTCTGTAAGAATAAAAAATTTGATAAAGTACATAACATAAAAATTTGTTTCACTTACATAATACCAATTCGATATCAAACTAAATGCGATAAACGGACTAATTTTATCACTCGCTTTACAATGTTGCTTACCTATAGATAAAGAAAAAAATAAAAGTGATATAAATACATTTGTATAAACCGGTGTGATCACTGTAAGATATTTTTTAATATTTTTAAATGTTTGGATTCTGTTCCCAACTGTGCCAATTTAGGAAACCATCTTTAATTAAACGGCTTTGGTCTCCTAATTACGCAGCAAACCACAATGGAAATAGCGCTAAACACTCAATGTACGGACAACGGCACATCAGACTACAGATTTTTGTTCGAAAATCGCCTCCAGCGCAACGGGACAAGATACGTCAATGTGTAGCTTGATGTGCTGACATGTGTACTTTAAAATATACTAAATAATTACCCGCTACAGACCACGCAAGAATGCCCTGTGGCATATTATACGTAAAACGTATTTTTGCAGATGCCCTATGGTCATATAGCGCCAAATTTAATTGCGGTATTTTCATTATAATCTACACTGGACATTTACGTGATCATAGGAATAATATTGTCTGGATCTGAATCACTTCACATATTGATAGTGCGTTTTAATGTACACGGGCCTTGGGAGGTTAAACATGGCTTCAATTTCTTTTCAAATTTCCTATTTAAGATAACATTTTCTGATTGCCTGACACTATTTCTAACATTATTAATTTCTAATTGCAGTTGTTCATCAACAACGAATGGGTGGACGCTGTTAGCAAGAAAACTTTTTCTACAATCAACCCTCAAGATGAAACTGTAATTGCGCAAATAGCTGAGGGAGATAAGGTGAGAATTCTAAATAACCACGGACAATATAAAACACCACAGAGAAACAATGTGGCTACTCTTGAAATTCTTTGAAATTCATAAATTAAAAACTGTTTAAGCAACGAAGCCATGGAATAAGACAGGTACAATACAATTATTAATATAATAAATGAAACTTATCGTGAATGCGCAAAACAAACAGATCATAAGGAAACTTGCGTATATCATTAAATATCATACACTCAATAGTTTTATAAACACCAAGCTAAAACTCAAAAATACCTGACGATAAGACCTTTTTATTATACTTTAGACTGAAACCAGTTTCCTAAACGTCTCTTTTGAACATTTTACCGTTTACAGGCTGATATAGACTTAGCTGTTGCAGCTGCAAAAAAAGCGTTCCACCGCTACTCAGAATGGCGCACTATGGATGCATCGCAACGTGGGCGGCTCATACTGCGACTGGCAGAACTCCTAGAATCACAAGCTCGTTATTTGGCAGAGCTTGAAACTTTGGATTGCGGGAAGCCAGTCAAAGATGCTGAAGACGAGGTCTATTTCTCTGCCAGTGTACTCAGATACTATGCTGGAAAGGCTGATAAGATCAACGGAAATACAATTCCTGCAGGTAATTTATAACTTCCATAAATAAGAAAGTTTGGATAGATATAATTATTTTGTAATGCATGGTAATACTAATATCTGATCTTGAGATCGACTAAGAAGGACACACCAGTAGACGGCTGGTCAGTTTGGTATAAAGTTCAATGAATCTCAATCCCAATGTCTTAAAAAACTAAGGATTAAAATTCCGTATAGCAAGGGAAAGAAACTGCGCATGAATGAACCCACCGTACAATGTATATTTCCTGTTATTATTTTTTCTCTTTATCTACAGTCAACAATAATTTCCAGGAAAACAGAGAATTTATCACATCTATGAACAAATTTGAAGTTATCATTATCTCGTTGTGACTATTTACGCGTTTTATGATTCCATTATTAAGAGACGTGATCATGATGAGGTTAAAATTTAGGTCAATGTACAATGACTGCTTGATATTTGTCAATGATTAATTAAAAGTTACGTTTTATAGTTAATAAATAATTAATGCTTGACTTCATCATTAATACATACCAACAATAATAGATATAATAATAGCTAACTAATACACGCCCTATGAAATATCAAATGTTAGGTACTATACACGAGAGGAATTAAAGACGGTAATCGACTCCTCGGATTCATGGACGAAATTTTTTTTCTCAGATGGTGACGTTTTGTCTATGACGCTGAAGGAGCCCGTGGGTGTGTGTGGCCAAATAATACCTTGGAATTATCCCATTCCAATGTTCATATGGAAAATAGCCCCGGCCTTAGCTGCAGGTATGTGCAAATTGATTCACGACAAAGCGATAACTGAAATCGTTAAATTAACGATCCATTGAGGTATCCGGTAATCTTTTGCAAACATGGAATCTGCTTGGGACAAACAATTATTGTATAAGTGGGTTGATAATGACAACAAAGTTTTGGATGTCAATTGGATTTACGTTAACAAAGGTATAATCAAAAACATAGCGCTAGAAGCGTTTATTACCTCGCATTTCATTCACAAAAATATGATTATTGAGAAATATATTTCATCGTCATCATTATCATCAACCCATTTATACGTCCCACTGCCGGGCACGGGTCTTCTCTCTGGCGAGGGTTTTAGGCCACAGGACGCTGGCCCAATGCGGGTTGGAGACTTCACTCGTTCGTTTTCCGAGGGTTTTGAAGTGAAGAAGCTCATCGTAAATTTTTATTATAAATTAAATAACGCCAATAAATTCCTAACAACTCGAAGGTACGAGCTCGAATTCCAACCCACGCTACGGCCTCTGCTTGGACCGAAACATGTATTTGTCATTTTATATTATCACGCCATCTTTGACAGGAAGAGCAAAAGATTTTAGTAGCAGATAAAGCTCGTTGTGAAAGAGTTCATCCAGAGAAGTAAGCCACCTTACCCATTTCTGCCGTCAAGCAGTAATGTGAGTATTACTGCCGTCCACTAACTAAAACGAGGCTAAGTGACAAATGGTCAAATAACCGTTTAAAATAGCAATAAATAGAGTACATAATTCTCTTTTAAAAACAGTGAGAATTAGTTAACGTGTTCGACTTATCGGAACTTACCCTAACGATGCATAGCTGAAATATCATTAACAACAATTTCAATATTCTAAGACTGAGTTATGGTTTTTTATGATATCTCAAAAAAATATTTTATCACTTAGCCGCGTTTATTTAACGGATGGCAGATTACCTACTGCGTTCTGATTGCGAAGGATAAGGGTGCTGGTGAAATTACAGGCACATTGGCTTGAACTTATGTCTTGCGCGGTGCCAGCATCCCTCAGATCTTTGCGATAGCTCTGAGTGCTGTAGGCATGGCGCTTAACACCAGGCGAATGATTTGTTCGTCCCGTTACTTGTTATCATAAAAAAAAGCTTTTGGAAAGCTTTTTCTCAGCAATTGATAACTTCTGGATGATAAACATCCTTTAAAAATACTATAAAACTATTCCTAGGTTGCACATTAATCGTCAAGCCAGCTGAGCAGACACCATTAACGGCACTTGCAGTAGCTGCTTTAATTAAAGAAGCGGGCTTTCCCCCGGGAGTAGTGAATGTTGTACCCGGATATGGTCCTACAGCCGGGGCTGCGCTTACCCATCATCCTGATGTGGACAAAGTTGCTTTTACTGGATCCACTGAGGTATTTAGACGATTATTTATAACACTTATGAGTATGATATTAAACAGACTAGGTATATCTCAAAACACAAGCAGTTTTCTGACAATGTTTTCGATTGCCAAAACAAGTGATATTTCCCAAGTAGAGCGCTTGAATATGTTAGAATGTAATTTACTTAAATAAATAATACATATTACAGGTTGGAAGAATAATTCTAGGTGCCGCTTCGGCTGTTAACCTGAAACGTGTGACTTTGGAACTTGGCGGCAAAAGTCCGTTGGTTATATTCAATGACGCCGATGGTGAGTTTAGCTCTAATTTTCAATCCATCATCATGCTGTGTAACCGTCTCGTTATTGGTCTATTGTCAGTTGCTGCTAAATTCTGTATGAATATTGAATTATGCTTCATTGGATACTGTGATTTTATTTTTTGTGAAGATTTTAGAAATTCTAGGACATGGAACATTTTAATTGGAGTGTTAAAACAATATGGCCTTTAATTATATTTAGTCCATTAAGATAAGGATTATCAATTTTCAGTGGAAAAAGCAGCCCAAATTGCTCATGCAGCCGCCTTCGCCAACGCTGGCCAGTGCTGTTGTGCTGGTACAAGGACCTACGTACAATCTGGAATCTATGATAACTTCGTCAAGAAGGCAGCTGAAATTGCACAGAAAAGACGTGTCGGCAATCCCTTCGATGCCGTTCAACAGGGACCACAGGTATTATGACATATAAATAAATACACAAATAGCATGAACGAGGGCTTGAATAATCCTGGCTATTTAACAGATTAGATATGGGCTTTATAAAATCTTATTTGATTCTTCCCGGAGGTGGAGCCCTTCAATGTTCATTCTAATTTAATTATTTTTTCTGATTGTTCGATCTTTGTATTAATAATTATAACAAACTAGTGGAGTAATTTCACAAAAAGTAATTGAATATCAATTCAATAAAAATTTAAAATGTTAATTCTAAGTCAAATTTATTTATAGGTACAAATATTATATAAATCAAGCAAGGATTTTAAATTTACCGACGTTTTGGACACTACGATAACTTTTGAAATATACATCTAAGTTTCTTATTAATAATATAAGTATCTAATTACTGAACACTGAAATAAATGCTGAAGACACGCTACTAAATCTAAATCATCCGTTTTTGAATGTGTTGTCTTTACATTTATGCACGCTAAATCCCCACAATTATGAACTAATTTGATTATTTGTGTTAAGCTTGGATTAACATTTAGTATATTAGTTTCATTTAACTCATTTAACAAATAAAAACCATTCGTTAATTTTGAAGTATCTCACGCGCTCTGAGATAATGAGAGGCGTGCACAAAATAGAGTGCAACAAAACAGTAGCATCTCCAAAAAAATTCAGCGGCACATTTATAGCAAGGGTTTATCTTTAAGCAACAATAACGGGCTGTACGTCCAACATTGTGTATGTAGTGTATGCTTCCCGTATTAATACGTAATATATATGTGGGTGTGTGGGTGTGTGTGCGTATATATATTAATAGAATACGTAAGTGATCTTACATTTTTTTAGATCGACAAAGAAATGTACGACAAAGTATTGAGCTATATTGAAGCCGGCAAAGCAGGAGGAGCAAAATGCATAGCTGGAGGAGATAAACTTGGAGATAAAGGTTATTATATCAAACCTACTGTCTTCGCTGATGTCAAAGATGACATGAAAATTGCTAAGGAAGAAGTAAGTAGTATTTTTATTCTCAAATAAAGCTGTATTACACGTAGTGTTCATTATTTATTTTCATTATGTTTTGTTTATGCAACAACGTGCCTATTACAAAATTACATTGAATGGACATTTTAGAGGATCGCTAAAGAGGCTGAAATTTACGATAGTAGTGTTCATATCGACACTGATAAGGTAAAAGACGATTGAAGTCATTCTATTCTCAAATTTAACATTCATATAAGTGGCCAGTGGTTCATATCGGCGCTGGAAAGTTCGTGCATTTCATTTTGGAAAATATTAAAGGAGAGTTTTTTTAAAGAAAAAAAACATAACTCTAATTTTGTTTGTTATGTATAAATTATGGATACTTCCAGTTTTACTATTAAAAACATATTGATGTCGTTTTTCATATCTCATCGTTATTCAACATATTTTTTAGATCAGTTTAAAGGTTTTTGATATCTCTTATACCGAATAATAGCCTAGACACAATTAACGATTACACCCAGTATTTTTCTATGCGTTCTACTGTAATATGTGATTAGAAATTTTATATGCTACCTTTTCTCGCGGTACTATTAATTATTTACGTGACAGAAGGCAGTTAACTGTCTATCGAATTTATGTATTGTGTGAGATAGTAATTTCAGATTGTATCGTTAATTGGATTTGAAATAAGACATACATTTATAATACAAGTTACATACTTATTTTCACAGAAGATAACAAGTGTATCTATTGTCTATCTAGACAATAAGTGTATATTATTATAACATATACTTGGATCCACCTCCTTAAAGACATCAGTAAAATTAAAAAAAAAAATATTTTATAAAATAAAAACGTTTCTTAAGTTTTCGCGATTGTTATACATTCGAAATGAAAGTATCTTTTCGGATCCAAATCTCGTATATTTCTTTTTTCAAACAAACCAACCTGTTGCTCCCTTTACTGGTCCCATGGTCACGGCGACCAATTATAATAATCACGATTACTATGAGACCTGTAAAGGACCCAAAACGTTGCTAAGTTTGAAAAAACAAATCTTGATTTAGATCCGAAACAAGAATTTAATTTTTTTAAATACATCTATCTTTGAGTGACGATCAAGGAATCGAATATGTATTTCATTTGGCTTTATTTTACTCTGTATCAGATTTTCGGTCCCGTTCAGAGCATCCTTAAGTTCGACACGTTTGAAGAAGTCATTGACCGTGCCAATGACACCAACTACGGTTTGGCTGCTGGAGTCATCACAAACGATATTACAACGGCCATGACTTTTGCCAAGTTTGTTCGCGCTGGATCTGTCTGGTACTTGTACAGTCTTATATACCTATACCGAAACTTAGCACATTATCGCAAAATTTTACATATTGCACGTGACTTCCTACATATCGAGGGAGCGTAAGGGAGTATGCTTGAATGGCAAGGGGATATCTATTGGGATGTAGACGCGATAATATGTAATGATACTTTTAATTACAGGATCAATACATACGACCACGTCACAAGTCAGACTCCTTTCGGTGGCTTCAGAGACTCGGGTCTTGGAAGGGAACTGTAAGTATCTGCATTACAAAATGTGATGACAACAAATAATTTTAATTTTCCTTCTCATCCCAAATCAATAGCTGAATCAAACCATTTGAAGTCTAGATTTTAACTGAAGATAAACTGAGTTATCTTTTTATTTATATCATCAATTTCTTTTGCAGAGGTGAAGACGGCATTAATCAATATTTAGAAACCAAGACTGTAACTCTGGCATTACCTAAGAAACCTCAGCTTTAAAATATAACAAACATATTTTTGATATGGTGCCAAATTACGTCATATAATTATAATAATTTTTCTTGTATCTATTTTAACCTGTTTATTAAACTGTACTCATTGATATTTTATTTTAGCTCTTTTTTTGTAATTAGCTATTCCCTATTTTGTGACTAAACTGCATGTAACGGTAAAGGTAAACCTACTTCTTCGATGATGTGTGAAGTCCAAACCAGCTTGAATGTGCTGTACAAGCGACTTATCGGTAGGACTTTGAATTTTATTTCATTTTGTTGGGGAAGCTTACAGCTACTTTTACAGCATGGATTTAAATATGATTAATCAGATGCTAGTTAAAAGTTTCCACATATAAAAATAAGAAAATAACACTACCATAAATAACTGAAAAACACTTCTATGGGAACACAACAATTGCTTTATCAGTTACTTGAAAAGAAGTTATTAGTCATAATAGTTTTTATATTCATAACACAGCTGGTACAGAAAAGATCTATGCGACTGTCGTCATTGAGTGGGTTAAATGGTGTTAATCATATTGAGTTCTTAGGTTTTCGCGATTGTTATACATAGGAAATGAAACTATTTTTCCGGATTTAAATCGCGTATATTTGTTTTTTCAAACAAACCGACGTTTCGGGCCCTTTACAGGTCCCATGGTCACGGTTAACAGTCAACCGTGACCATTTTCCGACGTTTCACCTGTGTGAAACGTCGGTTTGTTTGAATAAACATATACGCGATTTAAATCCGGAAAAATAGTTTCATTTCCTAGGTGTTAATCATCTTGGCAGACAACTATTCATTCTAAAATTAGTATGACTAAATGGAACACGAAGCAAATTATGCTTACGAAACTTTTTAACAGGAACTTTGACTATAATGTTACTGAGAAGCTCTGGAAGTCTGGACAATCAATCTTATTCTGTGCAATGTTCAGCAGAAAACACGCATCAGCTATGTTTCTCTGCAGATATAAAGGTAACAGATGAAATTTTTCACAACGGTGTATGTATCTTCTCCAAATGGGGCAGTTTAAATTTGCAACTTAAAAATCCAGTAATTTTTTTCAATGCTGTTAGAGTAAGTATCGTAACAGGGATTCCAAATTTGCGATGCACACTCAATGCATACATATAAGTCTGCAATGAAGATAATCTGTCGTCGTCACAATATTCAGTACCTATAGCTCAATCAATACATTGTAGAACATATGCTTTAAGCAGTCGTCTGTTCAGACTGCCAAACGCAATTACTCTGAGGGGCACTTTTCGTCATTAAGCATTTGACAATTGAATATTATTATGCACTAACGATAGTATGTAAGTCATCATCATCATCATCATCATGGTCAGCCAACCTCAACCCACTGCTGGGCATAGGCCTCTTCTTTATTGCGCCAGTATTTTCCATCCTGCGCCATTCGCATCCAGCGCGATCCCGCAAATCTGACGATATCGACCATGGGGCTGGTGGTCTGCCTACTGGCCTTTTTGCTCCTCTTTGCCACCATTTCCTGACTGATTTGGTCGATCGTTCGACTTCTCGTCTAGCTTGTGCATATTTTGTTTAGTGAGCGTCTATGCTTCCGCACCGTAGGTGAGGATCGGTAAGACATATTAATAATAGAGCTTGGTCTTCAGGCACTAATAAAGTATATTATAAATAATAATAATAATAATAATAATAGTCATATCGACGTCTTACTTTCTCAAACTCATATCTTATAAAGAGTGGCAAATCTATATCTTTATATATAATCTATATATAAAGGCTATTCAGGAGATGGCAAAACTTTCTATTTATTTTAAATTTCTTATCAAGGGTGTTAATTTGGATGCATTACTTTAAGAATAGGTAAAGGCCTGTGTGTGAATATGATGTGAAATCAGCCTCCAACATTTTTATGTAGAATCCATTTTTTGCATTTCAGTAACTTTGTGATTTAAGATACGATTTTGAGAAAGTACGGTGACGATATGATAATTATAATAATCTTATTATAATAAATAACGATATGATAATCGAAAAGGCGAAAAGATTAGCTGAAGTTATAAGTTATAAACTTACCAATAATTTTGTATTGCTTCTCTGTAAGATGGTTTGAGATCATCCCGCAAATGTGAGCTCCTAGTGAATGGCCGACACAAGTGATCATTTTAGCCAAAGCACCCGCTTTTGTGATGTATGAGTACAGCTGGGCTGTACACTGAGCAGCTAATCTGGAAATTAAAGGAAATACTAATATTGTAGAGGTCGCAAGAGAGGGAAAAATGTGAAGTTTCAAATGAACTTTAGGACACAGAATAATCTCAGTACAATGTACTAAAAAAAACCGACCTCAAAAGTTCGTGAAATTACATCTCTTTGGCATTATAAGTTTTATTGGAATCGGTTACCGGAAAGTGCGCGAAACCCGATTCATCGCCTAGTTTAATGCTGGCGGTGGAAAATTCCAATTTTAAATGGGTACACTACTGAGGTACCTTCTTTCCAACAAAAAAAAATCGTCATAATCGGGTCACAACTACGGAGTTATCAAAAGCAAAAGAAAACACAGTCTAATTGAGAACCTCTTCCTTTTTTGAAGTCGGTTAAAAAATAATTCACAAGTACGGCGTGAGATATCCTAAAAATACTGACAAAATCAACGGCACTATATTATAACAATACTAATATGTTTAGTCGTCGTCATCAACCCATTTATACACCCTAGTGCTGGGCTGTTATAAAAAAAAGATTACGTCTCACTGCTAGACACGGGTATCCTCTCAGGCAAGGGTTTAGGCCATAGTCCACCACATTGAGGACTTCACACGTTTTCCGATGGTAGTTAACCTTCTTTGACGTGCAGATTTCATCACTAAGTTTTCCTTCACCGAAAAGCATAAATATATAGATAAATTAAATAAAAATAATATAGATAAATTTGCAATTATATCAAGTATATAATAACTTAGAGGTGCGAGCCAGGATTCGAACCCAAGTCGTCTGCTAAATAGCAAAATATTGATAACTCTGCTTGATAGCATGTGATTAAGTGCCTCCGTGGCCGAACGGTTACCATGCTGGTCTGCCACGCAGAGAGAAATATTTGTATTGCCCACATTTATTTCTCTCATGAGTTTGGGTATAATTTGTGGTTGTCATTTGTGTGTCCATGGCACCCGCGACACGGGTGCGGGGTTATGAGTGTGTGCGTTATTTATTATTATTACTATTTATATAGGCAGTAGATCAAACTATTAGGCTACCACGACGATATTTTTGTAGTTGTTTAGTAGGTAGCTAGTATCTTTACAATCTACTAAGTATACAAAATAAATTTATGTTTTTTGGAACAGTGGCCTAATTCAAATATCTAGAATACGAAGAGGATTTCAAAGAAAATTAGGCGTATTTGGCATGCAAATGTAATTATTCTTACGCGGGCCTACTGTCGTCTCTTGACTATTTTAAACAATGAAGACCTCAGTGTCTCATTCATATAAGAATTTAGTACTTTCTGAATACAGCTGTGTAACTATTCTTGAAGAGCAGCGATATCTTAATATGATAGTTCAACAAATATTACCTTAAAAATAAAAATAGCTAAAAGGAACTCGACTCTCCCAGCTTGAAAAAGGAAATCTAAGATTACGACACTGCCATATAGGTAAACAATTGCCAGTAGGAAGCGCTCGCAGTAAACGAACCATGATAATGTTACATATCCACAAGCAAGCGATAAATGGATACTGTATGCGCTAAAATTACTTTTGTTTGGCACGTTCTATTTCCAAATAAACCAATTGATTTAAACGCACCCCGATTTTACCAGTACTAGTGTTGGTACTGTTCTTGTCACAATAATCGACAAATCACGATTCCTCGTTTATCGTAAGTTAGAAACTACATAATAAGTTAGAAACTTGAGATGAGGTTATCTTTTTTTATGATACCAATACCACGTGACGGGACGAACAACTTGTGGGCAACATAACAGGTGTGCAGGTGTGCAAGACACCTCTACCACGGAGGTCAATATCTAGTTTCTATGTTACACATTTGGCTTTAAAGTTCATTGTGTTCTGTACAAAAAAAAAGTGCTATCGTTATATTCCGCAGTAATGTAAGTTGAGTCTTACTCCATTTATTTTAAAAACACGATAAGATACTGCAGCACGTGACGCAATCTGCGATCACGTAAAGGCTTTCACTTATATTTGATTATCATATTTTAGTCTAAATAAAAATTATGCAACATTGCGAGTCTTAATTGCATGTTTGCCTTCGCATAGTCTTTGTATCACTTATGTTTTTGGCTCTTCAGAATTGGTCATAAACAACGAAAGCACACCAGGCTTCGACGAGGTGCTTGAAGGTACTGATTGAAAAACATAAACAGTATCATAAGAAACACTTACTTCATGTTAGATAATGAAGACAGATAGCAGGGAAATCTGGTTAGCGGCGACCAGTCGACCGCGAACACGTTGTAATCTTTGCGAGAAAGATACGCTGTGGACATAAAGAGATCCCGTTAAAGTGGTTTTTGGTATCAATTATATACTATGGTACAATATCGGCTGTGCAAGTTTAATAACAAAAATCATCTCTCGACAACATTAACGCCGTATACCAAGTGACCGAAACTTAAAGGAGGCTATTACGTTAAACACTAAGAAAGCAATTTTGTTGTTTCTTCCTGAACTAAGAATAAAATAAGTACTGCATATAATAAATGTGATCCAAATACTAAGTGTAACGTATAAGATAGTCAACTCACCGTCTCTAATGTAGCTCATTGGATGTTTCGAATGCGTCCCATTAAACCCATGGATTATGAGTACATTCTTCCTGGTCTCCTTCCAGCCGTAGACCTCTAGCAGGTCTTTGTGGCGCACGTCCACCCATTGTTTCCAAGGCCGCTCCCTACCCACGGAACACTGATATACATAAGATCGCTTTGGTATTTACAGATAGTCACTAACGACAACGGCGCGTGTCGCTACGCTCAAAACTTAAATTCAACTCTATGCGACTTACAACAAGACTGTCAAAAGCGTAAGAGCTGTTGTTTGCACAGGATATTAATTTGTATTTGACCTCCTTTAATTCGGCGATTTCTACTCATTAATATCTAACATTGCCCGCTAAAAGAATATGTTTCTTCTATAATATCTATTGACGGGTCGAACAAGTCGTGCGCCTGATGGTAAGCTACACGCCTGTCCATAACAGTTGCAGTGCCACTCAAAGCCTTAAATCGCAAAGATCTGAGGCGCACGGACATACGTTGACAAGTCCCATGTAACTAAAACTACTAACTAAAAGAAAAAAAAAAGAAAAGAAAAAAAACTGTACTTTCACCAGTACCCTTACCCTTGAAAACCGGAACACGGTAATGTTGACATTATTGCTTGGCGGCAGAAATAGGTAAGGTAACAAGGAGCTCTTCTGCTACTAAATCATCGGGTATAATTTCGTTGGAAATGGTATTTGTTTCTCCAATAACTTTCGCAATGTGATGATTTTTTTTTTATTTGATTATGAAAACACCGTACAAAGAACCAATGTACAAATAACAATTCGAAACATTTGCGAACAAGAAAAAAACGACTTCAAAAAGGAGGAGATTCTTAATTCGACTTTTTTCCATTTTTGTTATACGATTACTCCGACATTTGAAAACCGATTTCGATGCTTCTTTTTTTATTAGCAAAGGGGTACCTTATTGGTGGTTCCATTCAAATTTGAAGAAAATATTCCACTCATAAAAATAATTTAAATATTTCAATCCGGTTTATTGGATTTCAATCACTTTACGTTAACCGATTTTATTAAAACTTGGCAAATAGATGTAATTCCACAAACCTTTGAGGTCGGTTTTTTTATAAAAAAGTTATTATTATTCGGATATATCCTAGATGATAGATATATGTTCAAAGCTTTTTGACCTTTCTTAGAGAAATATTAAATTTAGCAGGTAATTAAACAAAAAAAATCTGTAACAACGGAAATAAAAAATCGACGATCTCCATAAGCGTTCCACAGGGTTGCAATCTAAACCCATATTTTTTTACAGTCACAAGGTTTTCATCAATGTTATTAATTCTATATCCTTTTATAGTAGTTTACAAATGTGTATCCATTTTTTAACTAGTTAAGCATAATGTATAATCAAAGCACGGATATGCCCCGATTATGGTAACTTTCGAATAGTCGATGGACGAGTATGTCCATTTCTAAACCTTTGAGTCGCTTAAGTGAAAATAATGACGTATATTGTTAGGTGTTACAAAATAAACATAAGCATATTTAAAGTTTGAAATAAAGATACTGATAGTGAATACGAATAACGTGATTTCCTTTACAAAAGTATCAGCGGTATATCATGTTTGAGATGACTTTAATTATTTTTTTACGACGATGCTGCATTGTTTGTATTAGGAAGCGTATTAAGTTGCTGCAGTGTTTGTAAAAATAGACAAAAAATATAAATAAATACCTACGGGGTGTACAAAAAGAAGTTGATCTCGCTGTTCGGACACGTCAAATCGCGCTTCATCACACACCGCCAGTACCGAAAATCTACCATAGATAGAATATTTCCTTCTGCTTCTGGCACTGAAAAAGAAATTGCACCAAATTAGGACCTTTTTATCACAGTGTCTATAATCACCTACACGTTTCTTATAGTACCTATACCAACTTTTGTTAGAATGCCGATGGTGTCTCTCAGGGCGCTGACCCAACTTATTTACAGTGTATAAACGTTTTTTCTTCTCAATCGGTTCTCAGTTATGTAATAATGACCTTTATTTATTGCGTAGAAAGATAGAATACATTAAAAGATTAAGGTACAAGGGTAACATCAAATGGACGAAATAAGCTTTCCGCATCAGGATACCCTAAATGGTAGCAGTGTCTCCCCGAATTATGACTAGGTAAGATAATTGCAAGGCAATACGTCTCCCAGTGAGTCTATCTACACAGAGTATGTGAGTAGAAGACATAAATGAAACTATTATTTAGCTCTACACACAGTACCAAATACAAAGACCAATTGACATGTGTATCAAAACCATATCAAAACATAATCTCAGTACAGAGTACTAAAAAAAACCGACCTCAAAAGTACGTGGAATTACGTCTATTGGCCAAGTTTTATTGAAATCTGTCAAAGACATAAAATGTGTGTGTGGCAGCACTAGCTTTGTTCTTTCTCTTCCCTTCAAACTAAGTGCTATATTTACAAAAATAAATAATTAATACAGTTAAAACTTATCGTTTTCATATTTAAATTATATATACAGTGACTTTTACATGGTGCCGAAACGTTAGTCTAAATTTCTCAATACAGTGTAGCTATTTCAGTGGTTTTCAGCAAGAATAAATTCGCAAAGGAAAGGAATTTGTTTTCGCCATTTTGAACTCAAGTCGTGTATTCTACAATTGGTTTGTTCTCGTTGTGCTACGGCCGGAGATGATTGATACCATCCAATCACATTCGACTCACGTCTTTCGATCAAACTACGCTTTATAAAGTAATTCTAAATGGGCATTAATTCAAAATTAACAATACCTAAGCTAGAGTTGAATAGAGCATTATTGTTGACTAAACTAGCTTCTTATATATCCAATTTATTAAACATTTCAAAGATACATCTTTTCTGTGACTCACAAATTGTACTTAACTGGCTAGGTACATCACCTGCAAAGGTCCCAGCCATAGATATAGAAAAATCGTGTGAAGCAAATAACACGACTTACCAATAATTCATTTTGGCATTTCACTCCTGTGTTATATATAATCCAGCAGATATTCTTTCTAAAGGCGCTGATCCTAACGAAATTATGGACAATTCACTGTGGAAGCTTGGGCCTGTTTATTTGCTTGAAATCAGTGAATATAATCTTCGTAATATGTTGGATGTTGAAAAGCCACTTCATTCTAATAGTTATATTGATGAAATTTGTGTTGTACATAAACAGCCAATTCATCAATTTTTTCAAAAGTTCTCTAATTTACAAAAGGCCGTACGGGTAATAGTTTACGTGTTAAGATTTGTAAACAAATGCAAAAAATACAATGCAAATGACGGAATAATTTCTCTTGAAGAGTTTAGACAAGCGTTGACTACTATTATTAAAGGAGTTGAACGTGATGTCTTTGCAGAAGAACTTGAAAGTTTAGCAAAAAAAAAGATATCAAAACTTCATTGAAATCGTTAAATCCATTGTAAATGCTTCTGACATTTGTCGCGTTAGGGACAGATTGTATAATTCTAATCTGGATTTTTCAAATAAATTTCCTATTATTCCACCTAAACATTGTCATATTACTAAGCTCATTATAAGACAAGAACATTTGACATTAATGCATGGTGGATTAAAGCTTGTATTGAGTAGCTTGTCGCAAAAATATTACATTATAAATTCAGTAAGAGAAGTCAAAAGCGTAATACGCAAATGTGTTATTTGTTGTAGGCATAAGGCAAAAGCCTCTAAACAACTGATGGACTGTTAACCCAGAGACCGTGTAATTCCTGCTCGAGTTTTCGAGGTCGGCATGGACTATTGCGGTCCCTTTGAGATTAATCAATCTTCAAAACACAATAGTGTTAAATAGTGTTATTAACAAAGGATATGTTGTCCTGTTTGTCTAGGTAGGTATTTTAAATTCACGCCCATTAGTGTCATTGACAAATCAAAATTGTTCAGACTTTTCCATTCTAACTCCAGGGCATTTTATCATGGGTCCTATAATATCAATTCCCCAGCCAGACTTAACTGAGATATCTATGAACAAGCTTCGTTATTGGAGGTGTTGTGAACAAGTAAGGCAACACTTTTGGAAGGTTTGGTCTAAAGACTATCTGCCATCGTTCAATATAAGGACAAAGTGGAGAAAGGATCTGCCTAATCTCAAAGAAGGTACTGTGGTCCTATTGATTAATCCTAACAGTCCTCCCCTACGTTGTGGAAATGATAATAAAGTAAGGATCGTAGAAATACAAACTTCTAATCGTAAATTCCATACACGTGCTGTATCAAAAATAGTAATACTACCTATTGAGTAAATTCTTATATGGTTATTTTAAATTTGAATCTTAAGCAATCTTGTAGTATCTTTAATTATTTAGAAAGAAATATATGGTAATTAACTATACATATTTTAATTTTACCGTTTATAATTTAGTGTAAATGCGATGATGTGAAATGTGAAAAGGTTCACAATTAGCTTTTTAAAATAATGTTACAAAAATTGTGGCTTTCCTTGTGACAAGGACTCCGTTAGTTAAGTTTATTCTCTTTTGGCCCCCTCAGATTATGTCAAGTGTGTGAGGCAGCACTATTATAGCTTTGCTCTTTGTCTTCCCTTCAAACTGTGTCAGGCTAAGTGCTATATTTACAAAAATAAATAATTAACACGGCTAAAAGTTATCGCTTTCATATTTAAATTAAATATAGTGACTTTTACAAAATCGGTTACCGGAAAGTGCGCTAACCCGGATTCATCCCCTAGTTCGCCACTAAACGGAATTTGATACAGGAAATAATAAAATCGGTTCTCACTACTCAAAGTATATTGAGAGAAAAACGCCTTGAATTTGAGAATAGCAAAATCAAGCCTTAAAATAATTGCTCCTTATAATAAAGTTTAGACGCTATTTATAAAAATGAATCTTCATGCGTGAACAGCCACCCTTAGAGGTGGATGATTTTCTTCAAAATTAAGTGAGAGCACTATGGAGGTACCCTCTTTCCAAAAAAAGAAGAATTATCAAAATCTGTTCACAAATGGCAAAGTCATCGCGTAACATACATACAAAAAAAACACAGTAGAATTGAGAACCTCCTCCTTTTTTGAAGTCGGTTAAAAACAAAATTGAATGTTTTCAGAGAATATATGTTGTCAAAAAGAGACAGAAAAACCCGGCATTACAATAGATAGCAAGAAAATAAACTATAACTGAAGACAGGTGGATAGTGATTACTCCAATAACAAAAGCCTAGTTTTGAAGTAAAAACTTAAAAAAAAATGTGAAAAATGTTGTTCTCAAAAAACAAATCTCGTTTTGGCGACTTTAAAACTATTTATAACTACATTTCTCCCAGCGGAATTCTTTTTGGTTCACTACCTTTTTGGTACATAATATTTACAACCTGGGTACAAATTCGTTGGAGATTAGGCGAATGAAACACTAACTTGTGGTTACTTCCAAAATTCAGCGCGATAATATAGATTCCCCAGATTTGCGTGATGAGCTATATCGGCTCTGCCTATAACAACTATCACCGCAGTAGAAGACACGCTATTTGCCACCCCGTTGTTGTCCCGAACCGTGGATGGTCAGGAATATTGTCAGAATTTTTGCGTTACTGTGAAAAGGGGTGCTTGAAAGGGATCTTATATAATTCTTTTTACGTTGTTTCTTTAATTATTGTAATTGGTTTGTCCGTGATAATTATAGTAAATATGTATATATATATATATATATA